GGATTCCAAGTTATTCGTTATGGGATTCGTTTCTCTCAACTCTGAAGCTCTAGCTGTAGACGTTTCTTTCCTGAGGCTTCAGCTGCTCTCCCTTGCCCTGGGTTAGTTTAAAAAGAAAAAAAACAAAAACTAAGGCTGACTTCTACTGGGGCAAACTGACCCACCCACATTACCCAGGAGGCCCCGCGAATGGACGCTGGTCCCGTATTTCCCAGAGTTCCCCGCGTCTTTCGCAGGCGTTGAAGACGTCGAAGCTAAAATGGCGACCGGGACGGGCAGTGAGTATCGTAAGCCGCTTTGACGTTCAAGGCCTTTGTAGGGCCGAGGCTCGGCATCCCATTTTCGTCATGCACAAAGGGAGTGTCCGAGGAGGGAGTTGTCAGAGACCTGCCTTCCGTGGCGCTCTCCGTCAGGGCCGTTGCCTGGGGTCTGAGCGTTGCAGGGATGAACGGAGGCTGGAGACGCCGCCGGGGCAGGGGGCCTTTGTGTGCTCGGCGCTGTCCAGGCTAAAGACCCTCAGCGTAAAGGCAGTACCGACTGGCCTGCCGCTCGCTTGTTTTTCTAACCAACCTGTGTGAAACAGTCGGAATGAGATCTGTTAACTGTGGGCGTTTCCTGCCGCCGGGGGAAAAATGCGTTTCGCGAATCTCCAGCCATTTTTTTTTTTTCCGGTTTCACTGACTAGCAGCCTTATGCGGGACGGCTGAGGGGAGGGGCTGGGGTGTAAACAAACAACTTTATGCAAAGGAGGAGGGGGGCAGTAGGAGCCGGTGGCCGCTGGGAATCTTGGGAAATAAGCTTGCGTTCAAACTGGAATAAAGTTATAAAACTGGGTCTTTAAGGAGATCCCCCCCCCCTTTTTCTTTAATTAAACGTAACACTGCCCCTTTTTTTGAAGCAGATCTTAAGGCCATGGCCTTTGAACAAATAAAATGTTCTATAAATGCGTATTCAGAGAACAGGTATCATGGCTGGTAGTGATTGTATTTGATTGGAATGATGAAAGTCAAGATTTGGTGATCATAAATAATTGGTGGTAGTAGTTCACTTTGTTCGAACAAGATTGAGATTTGTTTTGAGGCAGGACCCTGGCTGGCCTTAATCAGGCTTTTAGCTGTTCTGGGACTTAGAACTACCTCGGTGGTCATTTCTTTTTTGTTTGTTTTTGTTTTTCGAGGCAGGGTTTCTCTGTGTAGCTTTGGAGCCTGCCCTGGAACTCGATCTGTAGACCAGGCTGGCCTTGAACTCTCAGAGAGCCGCCTGCCTCTGCCTCCCTAGTGTTGGGATTGAAGTCATGCACCACCAACGCCTGCCCTCAGTGGTCATTTCTAAGTCTTCTTTATTCCCAGAGCACAAGCTGCTGAGTACTGGCCCAACAGAGCCATGGTCCATCCGAGAGAAGTTGTGTTTAGCATCTTCTGTTATGAGGAGTGGAGATCAGAACTGGTAAGAAATCTAAGATATCTGATTTCTTGGGCTGTAGTACTGAGTCTTTTCTTTTCTTTTCTTTTTTGTTTTTGAGACAGGGTCTCTCTGTGTGTAGTCCTGGCTATCTTAGAACTCACACTGTAGACCAGGCTGGCCTGAACACAGAGATTGCCTGCCTCTGCCTCCTCAGTGCTAGAATTAAAGGCGTGCTTCAAACTCCTCGCTGTGTAGCCTAGGATGACCTTGAACTCCTGATCCTGCTTCTACTTCCTGAATGCTATGATTATAGGCATGTACTGAGGCTTGGTTTTTGTAGTACGGATCAAATTAAGATTTCGTGCTTGCTAAATCAGCACTCTACCAACTGAGCTATATCCCCATCACCTTCAGGTTTTTTATGTGCTTCACAATATTTCCTGTCCTTTATTGTAGCCATACTGGTAATATAAAGTCATATTTCATCACCAGTTTTTTAAATATTTATTTGCGTGTTTGTATGTGCATAGAAGTGTAGAGGTCAGAAGGCAGCTTGCAAGATTTGTTTCTCTTTTTCCACCTTGTGGGTTCTAGGGATCAAACAAAGATCCAGCTGAGCCAACTCTTTGTACATTGTTGTTTTGTTTTGTTTTCCTCTGTAACAGCCCTAACTCACTGTCTTAGAGCTTTGTAGACCAGGCTGGCCTCCAACTCGTAGAGATCCACCTGCTTCTGCCTCCTGCATGCTAGGATTAAAGTTGTGCACTGCCACACCCAGCTTTGTTTTTGTTCTTAATTTTTATTTATTTTTATGAGCATTAGTGTTTTGGCTTCATGTATATCTGTGTGAGGGTATCAGGTCCCTGGAACTGGAGTTACCAGCCATGTAGGTGCTGGGAATTGAGCCTGGGTCCTCTGGAAAAGCAGCTAGTGGAAAAGCAGCTGGAAAACCTCTAAGCCCCCTCCTTTTGTTTTTTGTTTTTTTAAGACAGGGTCTATATATGTAGTTCAGGCTAACCTAGACATCCCAGTGATGTCCCCTTTTCAGCCTTCTCGCCTAGAATTACAAATTTGAGCCACTACATCTAGTTCCTTATTGTAGTTTTGATATGCATTTCTCTCTGTGTGGCATATTTTCATGTGGCCATATAGGCATTGTATATTTAATGGAGAAAGTTATGCTCAATTTTTGTCCATTTTTGATTTTTGGTTTTTTTTTTTTATTCCTTTCTATAATTGCATTATAATTCTTTGTGTATCTGGAGACTAATTCTTTGACAATTTAGAACTATTTCTCCTATTTTGTATGCTGTCTTTTTTTTTTAAGAATTCTTTTTAATTTATTTTTATTTTATGTGCATTGGTGTTTTGCCTGCATGTGTGTCTGTGTGAGGGTGTCAGATCCCCTGGACTGAAGCTACAGACAGTTGTAACCTGCCACATGGGTGCTGGGAATTGAACCAGAGTCCTGATGTTAACTGTCAGTTCTCTTAACCACTGAACTATCATCTCTCCAGCCCCCAAGAAACATTTTTTTTTTTTAAGATTTATTTATTATGTATGCAGTGTTCTGCCTGCATGTGTCCCTGCCGGCCAAAAGAGGGCACCAGACTACATTACAGATGGTTGGGAGCCACCATGTGGTTGCTGGGAATTAAACTCAGGACCTCTGGAAGAATGGGCAGTGCTCTTAACCCATGAGTCATCTCTCCAGCCCCAAGAAACAATTTTTTAGTCGTTTATTTTTCATGTGTATGAGTTTTGCATGCATGTATAAAAAATTATATATATTTTTGTTTTTCGAGACAGCGTTTCTCCGTATTGCTTTGGAATTTGTCCTGGAATTTGCTCTCTAGACCAGGCTGACCTCGAACTCAAAAAGATCCACCTGTCTCTGCCTTCTGAGTGCTGGGATTAAAGATGTGTGCCACCAAAGCCCGGCTTGCCTGCTTGTATATTATCTAACATGTGTATTCTAGAAGAGGGTGTTACAGGAGTAACAGATGGAGTAAGAGGTTTTGAGGCACCAAAGAGGTTTTGAGGTGCTGGGGATTGAACCAAAGTCCTCTGGATGAGCAGCCAGTGCTCTTACTATTGAGCTATCTCTCCAGCTGTCTTTGCACTGTTTTGATTAGTATTGTTTACAGCACAAAAGTTTTGGAAACATTTTTTCAAGGTAGGGCCTCTTCTATATAGCTCTGGCTGTCTGGAACTCTGTCGACCAGACTGGCTTTGAACCCAACAGAAATCTGCCTGCCTTTGTCTCTCTAGTGCTGAGATTAAAAGCATAAGCCACCAGAACCAGCCAAAGGTTTTTATTTCTATTATACTACTTTAGTTTCTTCTGTTGTTTTGCTTGAGAATTGTCTAGGAAAATACTTATTTTGCTTTTTTTGTTTATTGGCTTTTACTATTAAATTTTTTACTACCATTGTTGTTTTGTGTGTAGCAGTGTTTTGCCTGCATGTATGCATGTGTACTATGAGTTTGCCTGGTGCCTTTGGAAGAAGTCTTGCTGAAATGTCTTTAAGTTGGTTATAAAGGTTTGTTTTTGTTGATAGCCTCCAAATCTTTATGTAGCCCCACATCATCTGATCTTGTCCTCAAGAATTTTTACCTCTGTCTGCTGTTTGTTGGGGTTATAGGTATATTCTAACACACACTCAGTTAGATATTTCCTTTCTCTTTTTTTGAGACAGGGTTTCTTTGTATGATCCTGGCTGCCCTAGAACTCTGTAGACCAGGCTGGCCTCAAATTCACAGAGATCCATCCACCTGCCACTGCTGGGATTAAAGGCGTGTACCACCACCTCCTGGCTCAGCTAGATAATATTTTAATTACAGAAAGTTGTGCATAGATTGGTTCCTACCTTTTAATTCAGTGGCTATGAACTTGGCTTTGTTGCTGTTGTTATTTTGATTACAGATATGTATGGTAATACTGTTCAGTTTTTCCTCTGTCAGGAAGTTAGTGAAGAGGTTTAATATAGTTATAGGCCCTGGTTGATAGAAAAAGCTCTTAGGGGATTAGTTTGGTTTGGTTTATTTTGGCATGGGGTTTCACTTTGTAGCCTTGGCTGCCTGGTCAGCCATATAGATCAATACCTGGCTTCTTTGAGGAGAAGGGTGGGCTGGAGACAATGACAGGATCTCTTTATTTAGTTCTGGCTGGTCTGATACTCATTGTGTAGCTCAGGCTAGCTTCAAACTTACCATAGCTCTCCTGTCTCAGCCTCCTGTTTGTTAGAATTAATAGTATACATTATACACAGTGAAAAATACTTCATAAAATTTAAACAGCTGGTACATGCTTTTAATCCCAGCACTCAGAATTCTGAAGCAAGGGGATCTCTGAGTTTGAGGCCAGCCTGGTCTACAAAGTGAGCTCCAGGACGGCCAGGGCTTTTTCACTGAGAAACCCTGTCTCCAAAAAACAAAACAAAAAGTTGTGAGCTTTTAAGAGCTATTTTTTTTAAAAAAAAAACCAGTTACGTTGCTTTGTTTTTGTTTTTTTGAGACAGGGTTTCTCTGTGTAGCTTTGGAGCCTATCCTGGCATTTGCTTTGTAAACCAGGCTGGCCCCGAACTCACAGAGATCCGCCTGCCTCTGCCTCCCGAGTGCTGGGACTAAAGGTGTGCACCATCAGTATCCAGCTAGTTATGAGTTAATAAAGGTATTTAAATACAGTTTCATGATGAGGATTAAGTGGCTCAGAAGGAACGACGAGAGTAGAGGTGTGGGCTTCTCAAAAGGAGTCATAAAAGTAAGATATACCAAATATGGGTACTGGTTTCTCGAGGGAGAGTGGCCATAAAGCTCATTTTAAGAATCTAGTTGGTCTGGAGAGTTAGTTGGCTCAGTGGTTAAGAACACTGGCTTAACCAGTGTAAAGTTGGTGGCGCATGCCTTTAATCCCAGCACTCTGGAGGCAGAGGCAGGCAGATCTCAGAGTTCAAGGCCAGCCTGGTGTCCAGAGCGAGTGTCAGGATAGGCTCCAAAGCTACACAGAGAAACCCTGTCTCAAAAAAAAAAAAAAGAAAAGAAAAGAGAAAAAAAAAAAAAAAAGAAGATCACTGGCTGCTCTTCCAGAGGTCCTGAGTTCAATTCCCAGCAACCACATGTTGGCTCACAACCATCTATAGTGGGTCTGATGCCATCTTTTGGTGTAAAGTCGATAGAGCACTCTTATACATAAAATAAAAAAATAAACCTTAAAAAATTAATCCTTCAAAAAGGATTAATCTAGGCTGGGCATATAGTTTGGCTATATAGTATTTGGCTACATGTGAGACTCTGGATACATTTAAAGATTTTTGTTGCATTTTAATTTATTGTGCATGTATGTGCATATAGGTATATGAATAACACTGTGAATGGTGAGGAAATCAGAGAACAAATTATAGTAGTTGATATTTCTTCTTCTACCCTGTGGATTTTGGGGATGGAGTTCAGATCATCAGGCTTAGAAACAAGTCCCTTCACCCACTGGGCTATTTCACTAGCCCCTGAATTGCTTTTTATATAGTTGTGTCATTTTCCATTGTCAGGTATTCCAGAACTAGAGCTATAATTTTGGTGGAGCACTTACCTAGTGTGCATGAGTGAACCTGTTTTTTATTCTCACACTGAAAAGTAAATAGAGTTAATGATAAAGGAAGGGTGTTCTACAATACTCCAGTGGCAATTCTTTATTCTATTGTGATCTATAAATTCTAAACTTGGAACTCCCACATACCTCTACCACCTGTATTTTTCCTGTTTGATATATAATAATGCTTTTCTCATTTTGTAGGGTGTCAGTTAGCAGAGCAATCAAGCCTTTTGCAGAACCTGGGCGACCTCCAGACTGGTTTTCTCAGAAAGTAAGTTACCAATCAGATGTTCTTTTACACTTATGGGAATATGAAATTGGTTCTTTATGAGGCTCTGCCTTGTTACTTACAAGGTTTTCTGTATCATGAAGGGGGGAATAACTTACAGCATTAGAGACTGGGTGTAGTGGTACATGGCTGTAATTCTAGCAGTTGGGAGATAGGCAAGCTCACTTTCTAGACTAGCTGAAACAAGGTCTAGTTTCTTTGAGTGATCCTACTTCAAGTAAGGGTAAGACTGATTGAGGAGGATTCCCAGAGTTAATCGTAGGTATCCACATCCATGTGTGCACACATGGATGAGCATGTGGACACAGACACGCCGCACATTAAAATAAAAAGGAGTAAAGGGGTCTGGAAAGAAGGTTCAGTGGTCAAGAGCACCTAATGCTCATGCAGAGGTTCCTAGCACCTGCGTCCAGTGGCTTGTAAATACCTGTAACTCCGGACATCAGTACCTTCTCTGGCCTCTGAGAGCTCATACAGATATACATTCAGAGGTATAAATAAAAAATAAATGTTTAGCCAGGCGGTGGTGGCGCATGCCTTTAGTCCCAGCACTCCGGAGGCAGAGGCAGGAGGATCTCTGTGAGTTGGAGGCCAGCCTAGTCTACAGAGCGAGTGTCAGGACAGCTTCCAAAGCTACAGAGGGAAACCCTGTCTCGAAAGAAAATAAAAGTTTAAGTAAAAATATTTTAAATTAAATATTTAAATTTTATATTTATTTTTAAATTTAATAAAAATAAAAAACTTAGCTAGAGTCTGGTGGCACCCTCAGGAGGCAAAGGCAGGAGGATCTCTGTGAGTTGGAGGCCAGTCTACTCTACAGAGTAAGTTCCAGGACAGCCAAGGATTCACAGAGAAAGCCTGTCTCAAAAACAAAACAAAATTTTAATATTTCAAAATATTTTAAAATTTAAAAACAAAAGAAAATACCATTTTTTTCTTTTTCCCACTATTTGCTAATCTGGGGTGTGTGTGTGTGTGTGTGTGTGTGTGTGTAAAAAAGAATTACAAACTTTTTTCTAATTTTTATTGAGTAGTATTAGTAGTAGAGAGAGAGAGAGAGAGAGAGAGAGAGAGAGAGAGAGAGAGAGAGAGAGGGTGTGTGTGTGTGTGTGTGTGTGTGTGTGTGTGTGTGTGTGTTTATGTATCCCTGGCAGTCCTGGAACTCACTATGTAGACCAGTCTAGCTTTGAACTCAGATCCCTTGTCTCTGCCTCCTACCATGACCAACTAAACTACACAGTCTTCAATAGCTTTCTTCACTTAGTCTTATTCTAATTGTTGAAACTTGGAAATCTTGATTCTTTCCAAGTTTGCTTATAAAATTTTCTTTTTCTTCTTTTTTCTTTTCATTTATTAATTTATTATTATTATTATTTTTTTATAGCATTGTGCTTCTCAGTATTCTGAGCTCTTAGAGACTACTGAGACTCCAAAGTAAGTATCAACCCAGGTACCCATCTGTTTAGTTGGGAAGTGTTCACTATGGAAATATATCGTAACTGGACAAGCAAAGTATGGAAGATATTACTTATGATTAAATGGTAGAAAAGGCTCAAAGAATACAAGTAGAAACAAAGATTCTTTTACTTAAATTTGGATTTATTGTTTGGTTTTCCACAGACGGAAACGGGGTGAAAAAGGAGAAGTGGTAGAAACTGTTGAAGATGTTATTGTTCGGAAATTGACTGCTGAGAGAGTTGAGGAACTAAAGAAAGTGATAAAGGAAACACAGGAGAGATACAGGTAATTATCAAATGACTTGTGGGGTGGTTTGAAAGAAATAAAGGCTGACTTCTGGTACACCCAAGAATTTAGTTGTTTTGGCCGGGCATGGTTGTGCACACCTTTCATCCCATCATTCCAGAGGCAGAGGCAGGCAGATCTCTGTGAGTTTGAGGTCATCCTGGTCTTCAAAGTGAGTCCCAGGAGAGCTAGAGCTGTAGAGAGAAACCCTGTTTGGAAAAGCAAACAAAAAAGAATAGTTCTTTTTTGTTTGTTTTGTTTTTTGAGACAGGGTCTCATTGTATAGTCTTAGCAGGCCTGGAGCTCATTATGTAGACCAGGCTAAGAGCCATCTTCCTCTGCCTCCTATGTACTGTGATTAAAGGTGTTCACAGAGCCAGCCACAAAGAAATTTTTTTAAGTTTTTTGTTTTTTTAATGAACATTGGGGTTTTGCCTGCTTGTATGTCTATGTGAGGATGACAGATCCCCTTGAGTTGGAATTACGGACAGTTGTGAACTGTCATGTGAGTGCTGGGAATTGAACCCAGGTCCTTGGAAGAGCAGCAGTGTTCTTTACCTCTGAGCCATCTCTCCAGCTCCCACAAAAGTTTTTAAAATAGCAGATTAATAAGTTTAGTTAAACTGGGTGGTGGTGGCACACACCTTTGATCCCAGCACTTGGAAGGCAGACAGATCTCTGAGTTTGAGGCTAGCCTGGTCTACAAAGTGAGTTTCAGGACAGCCAGAAATACACAGAGAAATCCTGTCTCTGAGGGGGAAAAAAAAAAAAAAAACAATTAAGGCTGGGTGTGTTGTGTATGTCTATGTCAGCTACTTGGGAGGTTGAAATGGAAAGGTCACTTGAGACCACAAGTTCAGGCCAGCCTGTACCACATAGCAAGGTCTTTGCTTAGAATGCAAGACAAAATTGCTGTACAAGCCTGACAGCCTGAGTTTGATCGCCTGAACTTGTGTAGAAAGCTCTGGGTGTCCTAATTTAGAGTAGGTGATGATCAGGCAATCCAATGGCAGAAATGAAAGGGACCCTGCTTGAGTCGAGGTGGAAGAAGAGAACCAATCCCCCAAATTTGCCCTTGACCTCATGTGCTGTGAAATGTGGCATGTGTCCACCTGGAATTTTACACACACTAATCATTTTTGAAAAAACAGTATGATAGCTTATGCTTGTAATTTCAACACTTACTTGAGAGACCAAAACAGGAAAATTTCTTTTTTTTTTTTTTTTTTTTGAGATAGGGTTTCTTTGTGGCTTTGGAGGCTGTCCTGGAACTAGCTCTTGTAGACCAGGCTGGTCTCGAACTCACAGAGATCTGCCTGCCTCTGCCTCCTGAGTGCTAGGACTAAAGGCCCGCGCCACCACTGCCCAGCTGACAGGAAAATTTCTATAAGTTTGAGGCCAGTCTGGGCTCCAGAGTGAAACCCTGTCTAAGAAAAGAAAAACCAACCCAGAAGCTTAACAAAAATCACAAAGAGAACTGCAGTGTCTCTCTTTCTGTTTTATAGGCGGCTAAAAAGAGCTGCAGAACTAATTGAAGCTGGGCACATGGATAACAGACTGGATGAACTTTGCAGTGACATTGCCATGTAGGTTCCGTCTGTGCTCTATGCCAGTTGGCACAAAACTTCCTATGAGGGCAGTTTTGAACTATGGGGACGAGCTAGAACCAGCTAATGTAACTCAGTTCCTTCTTTAGGAAAAAGAAATTGGAGGAGGAAGAGGCTGAAGTAAAAAGGAAGGCTACAGATGCTGCATACCAGGGTAAGCCAAGTCTAGTGCCTCTGCTAATACTTGACCATATAGTGCTACATGCTAAGGACAGTTGACTGTTCTCATAGATGAGTGGGTGACCATTCCACTATGGAAACTTAGCTGTTGATTAAGATAGGCGGATCTCTGTGAGTTCGATGCCAGCCTGGTCTCCAGAGTGAGTGCCAGGATAGGCTCCAAAGCTACACAGAGAAACCCTGTCTCAAAAAACAAAACAAAACAAAACAAAAAAAACAAAAAAAAAAAGGCTTTTATCAAAAGGAGTTGTACTGTACCAGTAGGCTTTCAAAATTATCAGAAACCTACACCTGTTAAGTTCACTCATCCTTTGTGTTTACCATACTAGTTTTTGTCTTGTCCTGTGATTTCCTGGATCAAGCAAAATGTTTTAGGCTCCTGACTGATCTACCAAGATGGTAGGGCAGTTCAAACTTTCCCTCCCTAGCCGGGCGGTGGTGACACATGCCTTTAATACCAGCACACAGGAGGCAGAGGCAGGCCTGGTCTACAGAGTGAGTTCCAGGACTGGCACCAATGCTGCAGAGAAACCAAACTCTGTCTCAAAAAACCAAAACAAAACAAAAACCTTTTCCTCCCTTTCTCTAAAGTTGCAGTATCTTTGAATCTCTGGAGCAAACTGTCAGTAAACAGAAGAATTATGCGTATTTATTGTTTATGCGTATTTATTGTTTGCATGTACACAGAAACTCTTTTTAAAAAGGCATCTGGGTAGAGGATGTAAAATACTGACCTTGTGGCCTTGCATGTACGAGGCTTAGTCAATAGCTCCAACAAACAACTAAAAAGAAAAGAAAGATTCTAGTTATCTCTTTTCTACCAGAATAAATCACCCATTAATGCCCAAGAAGAAATACTTAGGAAATGAGGTTTCTTTATACTCTGTAGGTAGACAGTTTACTTGTAGGACTCACAAGTTTGATAATGATATACTGAACATAATTTAAGGTTTTATGTTTTTACTTTTTTTATTGGTTTGTTGGTGGGGGCACAGGTAAGTGCCATAGTGTGTATGTATAAAAATCAGAGGACAAGTTGTGGAGGTCCATTCTCTTCTCCCACCATGTGGGGTCCCAGAAATTGAACTCAGTCTTGTTAGCATGAACCTTTACCCACTGAACCATCTCACTGGCCTTAATTTAGAACTGAGATGCCAATAAAAAACAAGCCAAACATGGAGCTCTGGGCATTTGGGAGGCTGGGGTAAGCTGATTGCTTTGAGGCAGTCCAGTTTACAGAGTGGGTTCAAGGTCATCTAGTGCTACATTGTGAGACTCTGTCTCCAGAAGAGAAAAAAAGGAAAGCCAGATGTAGTGGTGCTTGCCTGTAATTCCAGAATTTGGGAAATGGATGCAGGAAGGAGGTGGAATGAAAAATTCATCTCAGTGAGCCTTTGGGTCAGGTGGGGCAGAAACTTAAGTGTTTGCAAATGTAAGATAGACTACATGGTATGAGCCAATGAGGTCTTTTCCTCTTTTTGAAAGCAGACTCTTAAGTTGCTGAAGAAGACATTGAGAAGTTTGTAAACCATTTACTACAACAAGGACCCTTGACATAGTTAAGTAGTTAATTTGTTCAGTGTGAGAATTGCCCTTAGTTTGAAAAAATTAAACTAAAAAAAAAGTAATAAAACTTCTAATCTAGACTTATAATGCTTCTTATAATAGTGGATAATTTCACTCATTTAGTCCTGAAAATTTGGTCTCTATTTGCCTATGTTCTAGCTCGGCAAGCAGTAAAAACACCTCCTCGAAGGCTACCAACTGTGATGGTCCGATCGCCTATAGATTCTGCCTCCCCAGGAGGTGATTATCCACTTGGAGACTTGACTCCAACCACTATGGAAGAGGCTACCTCTGGGGTAAGTATATTTGCATTTATTGAAATTGATTTGCAAAGGGACAATAAGCCAGCAGAGAGCTGAATAATGGGAAACCACTTTTTGTCTAGAAGCAACTTCTAAAAGCATGAAGGACTTTGACTTTCTGGTAGATAGGTAAAAGACTATGTGAATTACTTGTAAATGTATTTAGTCTTATTAAATTTCTTCTGAAGAAATAGACCATTTCTTAAATAAAATAGCAATAGTGTTTTAAGGAGTTTGAAAATAGCAAGTTAGATGGAATGATTGGGTTGTGGGTTAGAGTGAGTGGAAGAGAAAATACTATGGGAAAGAAGTATAAACAGTTTCTGGGTATTTCCATTCAGAACTAATAAAATCATAGACACACTAACCCATCCGGATTAGTAGGGAACCTTCCATAGTTTGAGAAGTCAGATAAAGGTTCTCTGTTGTCTCTTAGGTAACCCCTGGGACTTTGCCGAGTACCCCAGTCACCTCGTTTCCTGGGATTCCTGACACCCTTCCTCCAGGCTCTGCACCCTTAGAAGCCCCCATGACCCCAGTAACAGATGATTCACCCCAGAAAAAGATGCTTGGACAGAAAGCAACTCCACCCCCCTCCCCTCTGCTGTCAGAGCTCTTGAAGAAGGGCAGCCTCCTGCCTACTAGCCCCAGACTGGTATGGAGACTTCTGTGGGTGTTTGAGAGCTGTGGTGTTTTAGTACTTGGAAGGGAATGCCTGGGCCCTACAATATGACCTGGGGAAAACAAAACAAAACAAAAAACCAGGAATGTCCTAGTTAAAGGTTAACTTAAAAAAAAAATGCATTAAGTTTGTCCTTGGATCCTAGGGTATCTGAACAATAATTATTTGTGGTTTTCTTCCCCCAGAGAACTTTTTGTCACTAAATTCTAAACATTAGAGTTTCCCTTCTATCTTGAATTATTTTTGTGGATACTAAGTTTTAGTTTCAAGAAGTTTGTTTGACCACTGGAGTGTTTTGTTATTGTTGTTTTTTGTTCGTTTGTTTTTGGGAAGTGGTAGTAAAAGAGCTTGAGTATAGCCTTCACCTGTGTTCTTCCTTGGTAGGTAAATGAGAGTGAGATGTCTGTGGCTTCTGGCCATCTGAACAGCACAGGTGTTCTCCTGGAGGTAGGCGGGGTTCTTCCCATGATACATGGTGGGGAGATACAGCCAACAACCAGTACTGTTGCAGCCTCCCCTGCTGCCTCAGGTAAGTTACTGTTCATGCTTTTCATGTTTATTATAAAGAAAATAGTCATATATTTAAGGCCCAATTACAGTTTTTAGACTTTGCTTTGGAGCTAGTTTTTCTATTAGACAACATAGTGTTTGAGATCCATTCCATATGTAAAATATTGATAGCTCTAATTGATCACAGTATAGGTGTAATAAAAGGAACAATAAAGTTAATAGTGAAGCTATTTCTCTGTGCCTTGCAAAATGGGAAAATATGCCTAAGAACCCTGAGATTTATAAAATAGGGGAAAGAAATTTAGAACTAGATATCTGGGCTTGAATCTCATGTCTTTCATAATATTGATTTTGTGACCTTGGATAGATAACTATTGAGACTTGGTTTCCTTTTTTATTAATGGTGGCAGTATATTAGTGCTTGCAAAATTGTGGAAAGATAATAGAGACTCTAGAGATTAGAAACTAGAGACCTGGTTTGAATCTCAGACCTAGCATACTATTGGTTTTGTGATCTTGGGCAGCTTAACTATATTGAGACTTAGTTTCCTATTTTATTAATGGTGGCATATATACTTCACAGGGATGTGTTAAGGATTAAATGACATAGAAAATGTGAGACAAAAATAGTAATAGCATGTAATTGGGTGGGGTGTGATGGCACACGCCTTTAATCCCAGCATCCTAGGAGGCAGAGGCAGGTGGATCTCGGTGAGTTCAAGGCCAACCTGGTACACGGAAACCCTGTCTCAAAACCCAAAATAAAACACATTGATACTTGATTAAAGATAATTGATTTATAGAGTGCTCAACTTTAGCAGAAGTGGCAGGGTTTTTTTTTCTCACTTTTCTTTTTCTTCCTTTTTTTGTTTTTTTTTTGTTTTTTGTTTTGTTTTTGTTTTTGAGACAGGGTCTTGATATTGAGGTCAGGCTGTCCAGGATTTCACTTTGTAGCCATGGAACTCTTTGTTCCTCAGCCTCTTGCCTGTCATACTAGTCATTTTATTTTATTGTTGCTTATTTTTCCTCAGAGAAAATAACTACTTGTTTTTAATATATACAGTGTATAATTGGGCACTTGGGATCATAGCTTGGAGGAAGATTTTTAGAAGAGGTTAAAGAAAGTAGGGGTGTAGTTATGAGTTTATTCAATACAGGAGTTACTTTCATTCTTTGAAACTATAAACAAAATTCTTGATTAAGTCCTAGAGTGGCTATTGCTTCTTGTTTATGTGCTTTCTTTCCTCATTTTGTGTACCTCTTTGTCTGTTAGGTGCTCCCACTCTTTCCCGGCTTTTAGAAGCTGGTCCTACACAGTTCACCACTCCTCTTCCTTCCTTCACTACTGTTGCCAGTGAGCCTCCAGTTAAACTTGTGCCACCCCCTGTAGAGTCTGTGTCCCAGGCTACCATTGTCATGATGCCTCCGCTGTCAACACCATCCTCTGCTCCGGCTGTCTCCACTCCTGAAAGTGTAGCTCCAGGTTCGTCCCTGACCCACAGGACCAAACTTTAGTTAGAGAAAGTTGACCAAGAGCATTGTCTCCTGTTTAGATGCTTCTCTTCTGTTTTCAATAGGCTTAAATCATCTTTACCCTTAAAAAAGCAAGGGTCAAAGTGGGTGGGTATCTTTTGAGTTGGGTGGGGAAGGTTAAGTGTAGAAATATAAGCAGGCTTGAGAGCGTATTCTCACCTTACTTTGAAAATAAAATGAAGGAGAAGAAAACATGGGCAGAAGTGAGTTTTTTACTTTAGGTGTCTACAGCTCTGGTGTGATATCGGGGTGGTACCACACTTAATAATGGATAAGCTTCTGAGTTGCTTCTTTCTTCTTGTTAATTAGTGAATCAGCCTGACACCTGTGTTCCCCTGGAAGCTGTCGGGGATCCACATACTGTGACTGTTTCCATGGATAGCAGTGAAATCTCGATGATCATTAATTCTATCAAAGAAGAATGTTTCCGGTCAGGGGTAGCAGAGGCTCCTGGTGGATCAAAGGCTCCAAGCATAGATGGGAAGGAAGATTTAGATCTGGCCGAGAAGATGGATATTGCTGTGTCTTACACAGGTGAAGAGTTGGACTTTGAAACAGTTGGAGACATCATTGCCATCATTGAGGACAAGGTAACTATTTAACAAAATACTAAAACGTCTCCCAGGTACTACATAGACCACCCTCTTCTTCCTTTCTTTGATTTGCCTAGTAAGAATTATTTAACTGTACTTTTGCCCATTTTCGTTTTTGTAGTCTGATGTACTACTTACCTTCTCTGCCATCCCACTTGCTTGTTTGCTCAGCACAAGTTTCTATCCACTTGTTGCTTCCACTAAATGGTAAAGGTAGAGAACATAGCTTTAGACTCAGCATCTAATAAAGTACTATGAAATTGGGGGATGTGGGCTTTTTCTGTATTCTCAACAATTTGTGTATTTTGGGCAGGTTGATGATCACCCTGAAGTCCTGGATGTGGCAGCTGTAGAAGCAGCACTGTCATTCTGTGAAGAAAATGATGATCCGCAGTCCCTGCCTGGCCCTTGGGAGCACCCTATCCAGCAGGAGCGGGACAAGCCAGTACCTCTTCCAGCACCAGAGATGACAGTTAAACAAGAGAGGCTAGACTTTGAGGAAGCAGAAAACAAAGGAATTCATGAACTGGTAGACATCAGGGAGTCAGGAGTTGAGATTAAGGTGGAACCTGCAGAGCCAGAGCCAGGCATGTCAGGCTCAGAGATCGTAGCTGGAGCTGGTCCAGTCTCAAGTATGGAGCCACCAGAACTCAGAAGTCAAGACTTAGATGAAGAACCTAGAAGTTGTGCAGCTGGAGAGATTTGTGAAACAGATGGTTCCAATGGGAAAGGCGATGAGATGCCACTTTCATCTGTGAAGACAGAGGTATTTAATATGACTGGGCTGGGAAGAGGGGAAGGAGGGTTATGACTTAGGCAGCTTAGGCCCTTGAATTTCTGAGTCTTGACATATTGCACATACCTAAAGCCACAGGCTGCAACTAGTACTATACTCACCCTATCTTGAAAAGGTGATCGTTAAAATATTAGACAATAGAACTTAGGATTTCTTCTATGGCCTCATTATCATTGGAGAATAAAATTATGGGAGCAATAACAGTGTATTAGTAATTAGAATACTTACTCTTTTTTGATCTTCAGGCATCCCCTGAAAGCATGTTGTCTCCATCACATGGCTCAAATCCTATTGAAGATCCTTTAGAGGCAGAGACGCAACACAAGTTTGAATTGTCAGGTAAGTAAAGGATAGGAACTGTGTATCTAACTTGAAATCTTTTCCTTTGGCTTCTCAGGGTTTGTGGGTTGTGGGTAAGTAGAGGAGTAGGACAGGACAGCATGGAAAGAAAGGAGAGCTGCAGGGAAGGAGCATGGTCCACAGGAAGGGGAAGGCTAAGGTACAAAATCTTCAGGTAGTCTTTCTCTCCTCTGCAGACTCATTGAAAGAAGAATCAGGGACTATTTTTGGAAGCCAGATAAAGGTATTTCAGACTTTTCTTTATTCTTCTTGTCATATGACTAGATTTTCCCACACTACTGTCTTATTAAATGAATTTTAGTAAATTCATATCTTCTGGTAAAACTGGTAGGAAGCTGGATGAGGAAGTAGTAGTAGACAGTAGTAGACAGTCTGGCCTGATGGGAGTACAGTAGCAACATGTGCTTCCCTGTGAGAGCTATAAAGATCACGTAGTTTCTCTGAATATAGTGCACAAAGAAATTTTGATACATCCAGAATGACTCAGAGTGAATAGAGGCACTAGGAAGAACATATGGGGAATCAGGTTACAATTTAGACTATTGAAAGAAAATTATCTGGTTTTGTCTTAGAATTACTAAAGTAATAGTAACAGATTTAAAGCAATATGAGGTGAGCTTGCTCCATCAGCAAAGACATGAAATAAAACGATTTTTGATAACTTTGTACCCAGGGTCAGAGTTCCTCTCAAGAGCAAGGGGAAAGAAGGAACGCCTCTTAGCTTAGTCTTAAGTAAGTAGCTTTTTTTTTTTTTTTTTTTTTCCTTCCTTTAAAAAAGATCCTGGGCTTTATTCTTTGTCCAGGTTCTAAATTACTTTATCTTACTTAGTCAGTTAAGTAGAGGGTAGTATAAGTGATAGAGGGCTCAGCACCTCCCCAAAAAAGTGTGAGGCCATTTCTAGAGCTAACCTAAAAACAGATCTCATTTAATAATGCTTTACTAGGTAGCTTTGCTTGCATTTGTTGACTAATGCATACTGTGTCTAAGGATGCTCCAGGTGAGGAGGAGGAAGAAGATGGAGTCAGTGAAGTAGCTAGCCTAGAGGAGCCTAAGGAAGAGGATCAAGGAGAAGGCTATTTGTCTGAAATGGATAATGAACCCCCTGTGGAAGAAAGTGATGATGGCTTTAGTATACATAATGCCACTCTACAGTCACACACACTGGCAGACTCTATCCCAAGCAGCCCTGCCTCTTCACAGTTGTGAGTATTGTGATTCTTTTTCTTAATTTTTAGACATGATCTCATGGGCTGGTGTTCAATTCATACTGCATAGCTGAGGGTGATCTTGAACTCCTAATTCCCTTGCTTTTGTCTCCCAAGTGCTGGGATTACAGACAGATTATAGGAGTGAACAACTGTAGGGGTGTTGGGGGTGGGGGCTGGTGTTTTGGGGCATTGAACTTTTGAATGCTAGGTAAGCATTTTACCATAGAGCCATACCCTAGCCTTAATTTTACTTGTTATTTTCCCTTTCTCGGCTTGAAATAATTAGTTGAAGAGAAATAGGACTTTTTTTTTTTTTTCTTTTAATGCTTAGTAGCGATCCTGTGTCTATTTCAGCTCTGTGTGTAGTGAAGATCAAGAAGCAATTCAGGCTCAGAAAATATGGAAGAAAGCCATTATGCTTGTATGGAGGGCTGCAGCAAATCATAGGTAAGCAGGCATTACCAACTCCTCATTATTGGCTTAGGAAATTATTTGAGTAAGCTATGAGACTGCTTATGTTGGTGTTGGTTCTAAGTACCTTCTGCTGCATAGAATAAATTTTCTCCTTTTGCTTCTGGAGAATAAATCAATGATAAACCTATTTTTGGACAGATATGCTAATGTGTTCCTGCAACCTGTTACAGATGACATAGCACCTGGCTACCATAGCATTGTGCAGAGGTAAGTCATAGTCTAACTAACACACCTGACTTATAATTTGTGTAGACTTAAGTGAATATTTGCTTTAGGTAGTAAATTTAAAGCAAGGATGTTTTGTTTTGAGACAGGGTCTCACTATATATAGCCCTGGTTGGCCTGGAACTCTATAGACCAAGCTAGCCTCAAAGTCACAGAGAATGAGTAATCCCTGCCACTGCCTACCCCATGCTGAGATTGTAAATGCTAGGGTTAGTGTTAAACTGACCATTGCAGTGGCTAGTTAGCATTAATAGTCTAAAAGAATTAACACCTTTCATTACTTTTCTTGATGCCTGTTATTCAGAGTGGCTTATGGGGGGATTTGAGTACATGCTTTGGGATAGTGGGTTGGCATTTAGATCTTGGTAGCAAATACTGAAGGTATATGTGAACAGGACTATATAGTGATACTGTATTCAGAAATTCAAGTGACTCCTCCTCCCCCCACAGCCAATTAGCTCTGTTTATATATATTTTTTTTAGACCTATGGATTTGTCAACAATTAAGAAAAACATTGAAAATGGACTGATCCGAAGCACAGCCGAGTTTCAGCGTGACATTATGCTGATGTTTCAGAATGCTGTTATGTATAATAGCTCAGACCATGATGTGTATCACATGGCAGTAGAGATGCAGAGAGATGTCCTGGAACAGATCCAGGTACATTGAGGCTCATTTTGTTTTCAGTAGGGACGAAGAATTCACTTTTGGTTGTAATAGGCATCAGGAACACAGATAAGTAATTTTTTTTTTCTTTTTTGCTTATGAAGTTGTATAGGTTTTATCAGTTTGATAGAAGAATTATGATAGAAATTAAAATGAATTGAGTTTTTGTTTTTTGCTGCTGCTGTTTAGCTCTTGTTGGTAGGGATCTAAACTGTTGTTCCACTTGAGCTGCCCAAATACCTTACCACTAAGCTACATCATGTCCCCACTGTACCCAATCTATTCAATTTGGGAATCAAGCCCAGGGAGAGATTCATGTATGTTAGACAGGCACTGTTCCATCTAAGCTATATCCCTAGCCCCTTCTGAAGTAGTGTTTTTGTTTTTTGTTTGTTTGAATCTTTTGTTTTTCAAGACAGGGTTTCTCTGGCTGGCCTGGAGCTCAATTTGTAGACCTCATGTTGGCCTCAAACTCACAGAGATCCACCTGCCTCTGCCTCCTGAGTGCTGGGACTAAAGTTGTACGCCACCATGCTCAGCTGCCCTTCTGAAGTTTTAAAATTCAGTTTTTATTTTGGTTTGGTTTTTGGTTTTTCGAGACAGGGTTTCTCTATGGCTTTGGAGGCTGTCCTGGAACTAGCTCTTGTAGACCAGGCTGGTCTCAAATTCACAGAGATCTGCCTGCCTCTCTCTCCTGAGTGCTGGAATTAAAGGCGTGTGCCACCACTGCCCAGCCTGAAAATCAGTTTTTAAGGGGTTAATGTTCTTTTTTAATTACGTAAAATATCCTGGCACATGTACTCAACCAAAAGAGTGTGTAATCCGTGTAATCCCCGTTTATCACAAAAGTCTGCTTTATTCTTATAGTTGTCTCACCACACACCCTTTATGATGCTGACTTTGTTAAGTCTGCCAAGTAACTTTAATTGCTAAAAGGTCTTTGGTTTATTTTATTTAAAAGGTACTTTTTGCTTCTAAATTCTTAAGGAATAGCTAGAATTAAGCCTTTAAAGTAAACCAAGAAGTATTGAATAGGAGAGTTGTATATAAGTTATAGTCATAAAACCTGCAGTATAATGGTTCTTTCCTACTGGATTAGATCTTTGTGGCCAAACTTTTTTCTTCTCCTTATAGCAATTCTTGGCCACACAGTTGATTATGCAAACATCTGAGTCTGGAATCAGTGCTAAAAGTCTTCGGGGGAGAGATTCTACCCGAAAACAAGATGCTTCAGAGAAGGTAAGGAGACAAAAATGAAGTCTAAAGCATCCAGAGAGCCTTCAGTTACTCTAATATTGCTAACCTTCTGCAAGCCAGTGGCATGCAAATAGATGTTAGAATGGGGGTAGCTTACTTCTGTCTAACTGTTGAAGAAATCTGCTGTGACTGAGAGGTCCAGTTAATGGGAGAGAGTTTGAGCTGAGTGAGTGAATTATTAATCCTCTAGGAGAGTGTTGTCTGGTGGGGGATAAAGCAGCTCACAGCATTTGATGACTAGCTCCTATGGGGTCCTATGGCAGGTGGCTGTGGGATCTTTCTCCTCTTTTTCTCAAGTTGGACATTTTTGTCTTTGTGCTGTGTGTGTGGTTCTTTTGTCTCTATCCTGAGTTTTGGGGTACCTGTGACCGAGTTTCTGTGGAACCTGATCAGTATTTGTTTGTCCTCTAACAGGACAGTGTCCCCATGGGCTCTCCTGCCTTCCTTCTCTCTCTCTTTGTAAGTATTGAATGGCTGCAAGGGGTGATGTTGCCAGAAAAATTCTCAACTCCTGCTGGGCCTGGGTGGCAGAGGGAAATCCAACATGCAGACTGTGGCAGTGTCTTGAAATTCTTTTTATCCATTGAATAAGAAATTCTTTTCTTCTGCATTCTGGTCTCTTTGCATGTGTGTGTATGTGTGTGTGTCAGAGGGAGGGGGCTGGGGGAACTGCTGTAAGATCACTGCACTGAAATATGAAGTGTTCTTGGGGTAAAGACCTAGGATGCACCTGCTCCTCATTTCTTGCTTCCACCTTTTACCAGTTCTTATGAGTGGAAGATAGCTCAGAGCAGCACCTGCTGCTTGGCTTTTTAGCAGTATTGGTAGATATTTAACACACACCTTTCCACTTCCTCCTAACTAAATTGAGAGACTCCACAGATAAACCCTCACTAAAAATTAAGCTGGTAAAGGTACTTGCCATGGGAGTGACCTGAGTTTGACCCACAGACCCCAATGAGAGTGGAAGGAGAGAGCTGACTCCACAGAGTTGCCCTCTGAACTCCACATGTGCAGCATGGCACGTGTGCTCCTACACAGACCTCACACGCAGGAGTGGTAATGTTTTTAAAGACTTTTTAAAGATCTCAGTAGCAGTGACTACTGGATGCAATAATAGCTGGTGAGATTATAGATAAACATAATAGATCTAGCCAAAAGGCTTTTATTCTTTTGCTCCATAAATTAAATGACTGATTCTGTTCATGGTAGAGCAGTGAAGTAAGGGACAAAACATGCTGAAAACTACATGGTCTTAAGATCATTAGCTAACCTTAATTTTCTCCTCTATGTGATAGAAGTAATAATGAGTTGAGGGCCAGGAGGATTGCCCGCAGGATCACTGCATGCCTAGGCTGTGGAGTAAGACCCTGTCTCAAAAAAAAAAAAAAAAAAAAAAAAAGTAGAAGTGTGTACTAGAGAGAGGCACAGAAGTTAAGAACACTTGATGCTCTTGGAGAGGATCTGGGTTGGGTTTCCAGCAACCACATGGTGGCTCACAACTGTCTGTAATTCCAGTTTCAAGGAACCCAAAGCCCTTTTCCAGCCTCTGCAGGCACTGCACACTTGTGGTGCAAGTATACACATACAGGCAAAACATTCATACACATTAAATGAAAATAAGTCTTTAAAAAAAAAAAAAAAGAAGACAAAAGAAAGAGTAAGATTGAGGTACCTGTCCAGCCTACCTCACAGGGATGTTGTGAGGATAAAATAAGTTATAAAATTAACTTGAAAAAAACTATTAAAACGTTACACAAATGCAAGGTGTTATTTCTATTCTTACTGTTGGCTGTTGGCAACTTATGTTCTAAAAATTTTTTAATCCTTGCATATTAGAAATACAGAAATGGTCCGGCCCAGCAGAACTGTTCACTAGTTCATCTTGCCTGTAGACCTGTACCACAAAGAGAACACTGTGATCTCTATTCTTTCTTATTGGCCTGCAACAGTGACTCTGGATCCTCATTCAAGTGGCTGGCTATTGCAAGGCCGGTTAATAAGATCTTTTATCTATGGAAGACAGCAAAGTTTTGCACAAGAGGAAGGAGCTGGGCTACAGGGAGAGAGCAGCAGATGGAAAGAAGCCTGATTGTCCTGATGTCATGGAAAACAACTGTCAGGAGGTGCTAGGGAACTAGTGCCAGGGTCAGTCTGCAGGAAAGGCCTTTCTTATAGGGACCAGCAACTGGACAGGTATGTTAGCCAAGAGCTTCACTACCCTTTCTGCCTCTCCCACCTTTCACTTTCTCTTCCTGTTCTTTACACACAGTGTGGACCTGGGTGGGATGACTGGTAGTCATTCTGTGGGACCTCAGATGAATTTCAAAGACCCTTTGTATTGGCATGAAAAAAATGCTAGTCTTAATAGTTACACTCACAAAATGTCAGGTGTTCTTTTAGCTACTCTGTGGGAAAACAAAGTCCCTTCCACTTCATACCTTTGGTATTCTCTGTAGATTCTTTCCCCCAAGAAATCAAATTCCCAGCATTCCTATTGTATGTTGTCTCTTAACAGGTAACCAACTCACTCATGTTTCTTTCCTTTCTTTGATGTTGTTTAGGATGGGGGAACCAGGGGACGCCGCTGTGCCATTGAAGCAGATATGAAAATGAAGAAGTGAAGCCTCAGAGTTCCCTCTTTGAGCTGAACCTGAAATAGAAATAAACAAGATATAGCTTGGGCTTGTGGGCTCAGGTCTACACTTGATCTTAGTCAAAAGGCTGAGAAGCAGTATGGGCCCAGAAGAGAAGGTTCCTGGGTCAAATGACATGAGTTGAGAAAAATCTCTTTTCAGAGAGTTGGAGTAGCACAGTTGCCCGTTTTAGGGCAAAAATCATGGGCTGTGTTAGTGCCCTAATGTGTAGCTAGAAGATTGTAGCTTATTTGTATTATCTTGTGAAGTGTACAGACTTTTTAAAAAAATAAACCTGTGACGTGTGTGTATATAACAAATAGAAGGAAAACTTTGGCCTTTGGTGTGTGTCCTTTGTGTTTGAAATGTGTTTTCTTCACCATACCTAATCATATATGGGGATAAGATTGTTAGAGCTGAGAAGTGGTCTTATAAGCTGTCTGCTGCAACTGAGAAGAGGTGAGTAACCAAGACTGAATTCATAATTGTGTGAATTAAGTGTGCAATAAGGGCTATTGGGGTTTTCTTGAATGTTTGGGAAACGTTAAGGTTTTCAGGATCTAGTTCATATATAATTCCACAGGGATTAGAGTATGGACAAAGGTGGCAGAATATTGTCAGGAATGTTTTGTGCCAGGACTGACAGCAAATGCTATCAGTATTTCTATAGGTAGAACTCTTGTACAATATTCTTTTGTTTTTTGAGGTGGAGTCTCTGTATTTTGACAAGGCTAGAGCTCAAAATCCTCCAATTTCAACTTCCCCCGTAGCTTGGATTACAGGTGCATGTACCACATTGGGCTAAGTGATTTAAAAAAAAAAAAAAAAACAAAACAAAACCATGCACACACAAAAAAACTTATTGTTAAATTTATTTATTTATGTAAAGGTTTATCTCTGAGAGTTGGGAAGTTTAGGGCTGGGAATGTGTTTTGATAGTATAGTGGTGCAGCTCTCAGCTAGTGTTCTTGGCAATCTCCAGTGCTGGGGGAAGGAAATCACTGGAAAACAACATGGTGGCACATACCAGTAATCCCAGCACTTGGGAAACTGAGGCAAGGGGATAACTGACTGTTTGAGGCCAGCCTAGGCTTCAGAGGGAGACCTTGTCTCAATTGGTGGGGCTTGTGTGATGTCTCAGTGGGTTCAGGTGCCTGCTACCATGCCTGACTACCTGACTTTGGTCACTGAAACTCATACGGTGGGAGGAAAGAACTGACTCCTGCAAGTTGTGCTGTGACCTCCACATACAGTGATATGTGCATTCTTATCTGTGTATATGTATGTGCATGCACAAATGTAATTAAAATTTTAAAATGTGTTAAGACCATGTGGCCTCAGTTCTATCTATTCCTAATTTACGTTACTAAATAAAAATATTCATTCAGTAAAATGAATAGTATGAACCTTTATAAACAATAAAATGAATAATAAGGCATGCCTTAGTTCTTTATTCTGTCTTGAGGAAAAGAGGTTTAAGAAGACTATGCCTAAAACCAGGTATGGTAGTGCACACCTTTAACCCCAGCATTTGAGAGGCAGAGGCAGGTGGTTCTCTTGTGAGTTCAAGGCCAGCCTGGTCTACATAGTGAGTTCCAGGCTAGCCAAGGCTACCTAGTTGAGACCCTGTCATTAAAAAAGAAAAAAAAGAAAAATAGGAAGTGCCTAGAAGTCCAGGTCTTATTGCCTGAAGTAAAACTGTGTAAGATTTGAGGGTTTGGGATGCAGTTTAAAGTTTATGGAGGAAGTCTTAGATTTGCTCCCTAGCCTTTCATATTACCATTGTGATAGAAACCTGTAATCCTAGCTTTCAGCAGGTAGATAAAGAAGCATCAGTTCAAAGTAATAATTGGCAAAATAGCAAAGTTTAGACTACCCTGAGATACACAAGACCCTGTTCAAAAATGTAAATTTTGTTAAGTCTTTGAGATTTGAAATAGAATTCAGTCAGTCCAGGAGTTAGAACACAAAGTCTCAAGGGATTCCACCAACTGACATGTATTACAAACATCAAGTTGGAAAACTGCTAGGCGTGATGGTACATGTCTAATCCCAGCACTCCATAGGCTAAAGTGGATGAATCCCTTTGAGTTACAGGCCAGCCAGGGCTGCATGGTGAGACCCAGCCTCAATAAAAAATAAAATAAGATTAAAAACTTTGTTGGAGAAGTTTATGAGTAAGGTACATTAAAGATAGATTTTTGGTTGGTAGAAAAGCTGATGCATGAGTTTCCCGAGGTAGTAACTGTTGGCAATAAAACTAAAGGAAACATAATTAAGACTCATGCTAATTAGGAGTAAAGTACACACCTCTACTCTCTTCAATGGTGGGAGTTCGAAAACTAGGTACGGTGGTACTACTTTGTAATTCCAGCCAGCACTTGTGAAGCTTTAGGATTTTGAGTTTGAGCATACAGGAAAAAAAAAGAGCAGGGTGGTGGGATGGAAAGCCTATACTGCTCATCAGGCAGCTCACAACTGTCTAACTTCAGTAACTGAGGAGCCATGGCGTCACACAGGCACATATACATAAGCAGTAATTATAAATCTTAAAATGCAAGGGAGCAACTTGGACAGAGAAAAAGTTGAAACTTTAAAAGACGTTAATGATAAAGCAGAAGACCAAGCAAGAACTCAAGAAAAAAAGAAGACTATTGAAAGCTGTAGCTAGATGCTGGGGATAGAGCTAGCTTACCTAGTATGCATGAAACCCTGGATTCCATTCCTAGCACCAAATGAAACCAGGTCATTCTCAGCTGCCACTGGATGTGAGGCCATAGACCTTGTCTTTAAAAGAAGGAAGAAAAGTGCAAAAACAAAAAAAAAAAAAAAAAAAACAAAACAAAAACAAAACCAAAACTGTTAATGAACAAAAACTGTTTTGAGCTGGAGAGATGGATCAACAGTGCTTGCTGCTCTTCCAGAGGACCCGAATTCAATTCCCAGCACCTACATCAGGTGGCTTACCATTACTTATAATCCAAGGGATCCAATCCCTCCCTCTTCTGGCCCATGGATACTTGCATACACATGGCATTTACACACACACACACACACACACACACACACACACACACACACACACACACACACACACACACACACACACGTACATAAATACACCCCATGTAAAAATAAAATTTCCAAATGAATGAAGTATTTCTGTTTTTATTCTGATAGTCAGATATGACCAGAAGGATGCCAAAGGTAACCAAGAGTGTTTTGAAACTAATGATTAATAAGTTAATAATTGTATACACTGAGGAAAATCATTTTATCCTCAAGTTTATTGCCTTATGATTGAGTTCATGATGATTTGTGATAAAGCAAGTCTGTTAAGCTTCAATTCTCCTCCCCACCTCTTTCTCTGAGTATGATGAAATCTAAGTTTAAAAATGGGGTGATATCAACATGAATCTATTTTTTTATCCAAAAGATAAAGGTTTCATCTAATCTCTCCCTTTAGCTGGCTTTTATGTCTCCTAATGAATAGAAAGAAATTTCTGGACTGTTTCTGGGAACTTGGAAGTGATTAAATGAATTTGTTTTGATTTGAATTAACTTAGTGCATTTTATTCTGTGTATTTACAGATGGGGTGTGAGTGGGTTTGGTTGGGTTCTGGACAAGACTACCCTGAAGATTCTGAGCTGAGCAATGACTACAGGTCCCTCTTCAGCTCCTGGGACTCCAGTCTGGATCTTGATGTGGGAAGTTTGAAAGAAACCGAGGATCCAGATGCAGGGGCTGAAGAACTAGAAGGAAGCAGCCCAGAAAGAGACTCCAGTGAGTTCGTTGTGGACGATGTCGACAGTGAAGAACCTCAGGAGGAGGCAGAGCCAGGCAGCAGCCAGAACCCCCTCCACTCCCTCTCTGAGGTAACGGTGAGACCATCATTTCCATAGCTAGGAAGACAACACTTTTTTTTTCCTTTTCCTTTTCCTTTTCCTTTTCCTTTCCCCTTTCCCTTCCTTTCCCCTTCCCTCTTTCTTTCCCTTCCCTTCCCCCTTCTCCCTCCCTTTCCCTCCCTTCCCTCCCTTTTTCCCTTCCCCTCCCCCCTTCCCCTTTCATTTTGAGATGAGATCTGGCTACTTAGCCCTGGGAACTCTGCTTCAGCTTCAGCTTTCCAAGGGCTGGCTTTTCCAGGTGTGCACCACCCTGTCCCACCCAACTTTTTACCAGAATGCTTACCCTTGCATACTTCTACTACTATTAATACTGTTTACTGAAACAAAGGCTCCGGGGCTAAAGATAGGACTCAGTGGTTAAGAGTACCTGCTGTTCTTGCAGAGGCCTAGAGTTTGGTTCCCAGTACCTACATCAGGCAGCTCACAAATGCCTGTAACTCCAGTTCCAGGGCATCCAATTCCCTCTTCTGGCCTCTGAGGACACTCACATGCATAGGTCATATACTCAGAAACATGCACACATATATGTAAATAAAATTAAAAATCTTTTTTGAAAAAAAAATCTTTTTTTGTATGTTCGTTTGTTCATTTGAGACAGGGTCTCACTATGCAGCTTTGGCTGTCCTGGACCTCACTATATAGACCAGGTTAGCCTCAAACATATCTGCCTGCCTCTGTCTCCTGAGTGCTGGGACTAAAAGCATGCACCACCATGCCCAGCAAATAAAAACAAATCTTTAAAAAATAAAACAAATCACAAGTTCCACTGTGGCCGGGGCTGATTGATTGCTATGCCCTCCCCGCACTTGGTGCTGATATAGAATATGTGCCAAAAATGTAAGTTGCAATGGAATGCCCTAAATCCACAGTCCTTAGGCCCCTGGGTCTCAGGAAGTAGACTTTTTATATGCAGGTCTGACTGAGGATGAGTACCCTTGCCATTTGTTCTGATGTCATGAGCTTGGTGAAGGGCTGAGAACCAACAAATTGGAACAGTGAATTTGTATTTATTCTGCAACTGAACATATTCGAGAGAATGTACATCAAGTTCAGCAAGTATCTAGTTCAAATACAGTCATTTCTACAGAAGAAAAAGATTTTATGTTTTCTAGACAGCTACTCCCAATTAATAACAATTGACACCTGAGATTAAAAATTATACCATAATTTGAGCCAGTCATTGGTGGCGCACACCTTTAATCCCAGCACTTGGGAGGCAGAGACAGGTGGATCTCTGTGAGTTTGAGGTCAGCCTGGTCTACAGAATGAGTTCCAGGACAGGCTCCAAAGCCACAGAGAAACCCTGTCTTGAAAAACAAAAACAAAAACAAAAAATTTATACCATAATTTGAAAGAGCCAAGAACCATGCCTGCATGTTCCTCATAATGACTCCAGCAGCTAACCTAGTGCCTTTGATTAAATTTAACAGTTGAATGGCTAAATGGGTTAAATCTATTTGCCATCTTAGACTTAGTTATACTGACAGTGTGAGCATGTGGCATCCCTGATGTATGGATGCTGGTTTCCATAGCATCTAATAATGAACTTTGATTACAGGTAACTTATTTAATGGAGCCATTGTGCATTAGCAGCAAAGAATCAAGGGAAAACTGTTGCCCTTCATCTGGTTGGTACCGGGCAACAGGAGAGAAGGGAAATGGAAACTACCAAGTGAAAGAGAAGCCCTGCAGACAGACTGAAGAGATGTAGCCAAGCTAGACTTAGCGGCTGAAAAGAAGCTACTGAGAGAATATGGAAAGCCAGAGGCAGCTCCAGCCCCCCCAGATAATTATACCATAGAGGGCCTAACCAGAGAGAGAGAAGAGGTAAACAAATCATCTGGTCTTGGCACTCCAGAGACTTAGTCAAACATCTTGGGTCCAAAGACTGGCTTCACATCTTAGCCATGTGATCTTCAGTATGTTACTGGATATTTAGAACCCCTGTTTTCTCTGCTCCAAACAGATTAAATAGTATTCTACTTTAAAGATTTTTTTGGTGAGATTTAAATGCAAGCATTCAGCCAGACATTGTGGCACACCCCTGTAATCCCAGCACTTGGAAGGCAAAGGCAGGAGGATCAGAAGTTCAAAGCCATCCTTGGCTACACAACAAATTTCAAGCCAGAGTGGGTTATGTAAGACACCCTGTCTTACAAAGCAGTTCTGGGGGTGAGATCAGTTGGAAGATTGTTTACTTAGCATGCATAAAGCCTTGGATTTGATCCCTAGCTCCAAATAAGCAGGACAATGATGTACACTTGTAATCCCAGCAGTCAAGAAGAAGTGGCAGCCCGAAGATCAGATTTTTGAGGTTATTAACCCTCAGCCACACCTAAGTCTGGCTTGAAGAAAGTAAGATTGGGTTGCAAACAGACAAAGGAGACAATTCAGTGTAGTTTATTTATTTATTTATTTATTTGTTTTTTTGAGACAGGGTTTCTCTGTGTAGCATTAGTACCTCTCCTGGCACTGGTTCTGTAGACCAGGCTGGCCTCGAACCCACAGAGATTTGCCTGCTTCTGCCTCCAAGTGTTGGGATTAAAGACATGCGCCACCACTGCCTGTCTCAGTGGAGTTTGTTGATGCACACTTGTAGTTCTATCTACTCAGGAGGCTGAGGCTCAAGGGTCATTTGACCTTGGGAGTGAGATCTGCCTGGGTAAGACAGTAAGACCTGTCTCAAAACCAATGAATAGGTGAATAGCTAAACAAGAAAATAAGGGCCTGTGAGATGGCTTAGTAGCTAAATGTGTTCACTACCAAGTCTGAAGAACCAAATTCAATCCCCAGAGCCCACATGTTCGAGGGAGAAAACTGATTGCTGAAGTTGTCCTCTGATCTCCACGTATGCTCATGTCTCCAGTGTGTGTGTATGGTTGTGTGCACGTGAGTATGTGTGTGCATGTGTACAAATAAAAAATAAAATTAAAATAAGTAGGGAAATAAAGAGATGACTCATGTCAAGCACAATGCTTGGCTCATAATAAATTATTATTATTTCTGAGTGGTGGTGGCTCCAGTGGTGGCAGTGGTGGCGGCAGCACATGCCTTTATTCCCACCACTCAGAGGCAGGTGGATTTCTGAGTTTGAGGCCAGCCTGATCCACCAAGTGAGTTCCAGGACAGCCAGGGCTACACAGAGAAACCCTGTCTTGAAAAACCAAAACAAACAAAAGTTGTTATAGATTATAGATGGGAGTTGCTTCCTCCAGTTTGATCCTAGCCACAACTGTCTCTGTTCTTAAGTTCTCAGAGAGCATTTACCCCCAATCACAGTAGAGCGGAGAGTCAAAGGATTATTTTCAGACAAGAGAGCAACAGCAGGAAATACACCTTTCAGAGTGAAAGTCTGAGCTAAGTGGCAACAACCAGCTGCCTCTAATATCTGGCCTTAGAAGTCTTCCTGAAATAAGCAGAGGATTTCTTAGGAGATGTCTTTGCCCATAATTTAGTTTGTAACAACTAGATGCACTAAATGTGGGAATATACTGATAGGCAGCACTACCTACAGATGGAAA